GTATATATTATTCTCTGGTAGACAAACATCTTACCATAGTTATATTAATATATTAACTGAGCGTACAATTAGTCAACAATTAGATTCGTTTTATTTTAATGTAAGTGAATTAAATTGATTATTTACAAACAAGTATTTCAGTTGGTACATATAGCGTTTTTGATTTCTAATAGCTAGTATAACTATCGCAAAAACTGGCATGAATCTAATACTGTTAGGAGCTGAAGAAGGAAAAACAAATTAAAAGCTTATCTGCGCCGAAGCCATAATTATACCCGTCACTTATTCTTAAAATAATCATGTGCCACAAACTATGTATTTACCCTACTATTTCGGCACTTTCTTTTCTTTATATAAGAACGTGTTTTTAACGTATTTTGCATTTGGCCATTCATCGAAACAATTGGTAACCCAGTAGTGATGCAGAGCCATCACATATGACTACAATATCCTAAACAAACAAGTTGGATAGATAGAAGATATGTGAATCTTTAAAAATAAATCAGAATTTTTTACGAACTACTACTATGACAGCTTTATAAAATAGTTATTTGACCTTCTGGATCTCTTATATGATCTCATCTGTGTCCATCACAAAGCTTCAGTGCATAGCTTATTCTATTGGAGGCGTAGTGTTTGATTCGTACGTAAATATAGAAAGCATGTTTTATTTAGAGAAATTAAAGATCAATCCTTAGAAAACCATCGACTTTTTTTAATGTTGCGTTTTTAAAATAATTGCTTGTAGGGCATTTATTTTGAAATTTGTATACCCTTTACACAATGTGCGGCGTCGGCACTTTTTCGGGCACCCCTAACTGAGGCACCCACATGTGCTTTGTGCCCACTCATTTGATTTGAAAGCATGTCACCTGTCGCGCCCCATGTTTACCACAAAAGGCATATTCCGAATCGAAAAGCGACGTTGTTTCCAGCACGCTGACTTCTTTCAACTTTTGTGCTTGGCTTTTTCCACCAAATTGCTTTGCATTTTTGCCTAACATATTTTTGGGCGTGCAACATTTTTCATAATGCTTTGACATTGCCGGCTGCTAAAATGCCTGAATGCCTGAATGCCTGGCCTGCCTTTTTGCGTTTACAGAAAGCCAAAAGATAAACTGTCGTTGATATCTAAACTCAAACTCCCTCAGCAGCAGCAACAGCAGCAGGAGCTGTACCAACAGTATCCTCTTCTCTGTGACTTTTTATAAGATAATCAGACTGTTTTTATGGATTTTCTTTTATGATATTTATGCACGATATTTATCTCAATCGCTGCGTTTGCCACTCCGGCCATGACGGCCGCCTTGTGGCTTTTGTGGCATAATTTTGCGGCTTGACAGTTAATATATTGAAAAGGTTTTAAAAATGATAAAACGTTAGTAAATAAAAGCACATTTACAAGTGCGGCCCAATGCTTAAGGCCATGCCTCGATTGTGCGCCTTTTTTTTTGTGCGAAACTATAAAAATAAGAATTATAGACACGTCTGTCTGTCTGCTTGCGTTTCTGTCTGGCTTGCATAATTTATAGACAACTTGAAGTAATCGTTTGTTTATGTCTAGAGCCATTTGGTTTCATGCTCGTTCTCTGATAATGGCATTATAAAGTGGCCGTTTTTGTGGTTGAATCGTAAAAATCGTAATACGAAAATGTGCTTTAAATTGGCGCAGAGATTCATTCGAGCTGATAACTTGGTGTTTTTTTTTTAATATTAATGAAAGGGCAATTTAAACAATTGGCAGACATCATTACTAATGACATTTGTCTGTTTTTCTTTTCTTATATATTTATTTGTCTTTCTATTTGGTAAGGTATTTGTTTTTAAGGCAGAATTTAATATTATTTACTATTTCACTTTTTTTAAAGGTGTATCGAATAGACTATTATTGGACTGTTTGGCAATCTTTGGCTGAATTCAAATACCATTTAATCTTCAACAATATTAGAATTGAATGTAAATGTGAAGCAAAAAACTTGTTGCGTATAATCTAATATATTTGAATACGTATTAATTAGGATTTGAATGTTAGGTAACGCTTAATAGCCGACTGCTTACTTCTCAAACGGATTCTTCGATCTGCCTTTGACGACAACTTGCTGACCTCTTTATTTCATTCTAATCTTACATGCTATTTAAATAAAAGTTTTATGTTATTTATTTTTCATGTGCTTTAAATAAAAATGTAGTCCTGTAATTCTCTACAATTATACAAATTTGGTATACTGACCAAGTAATAACCATGTGGTTCAGATACGTTTTGAAAATGGTTCTAAACTTCTACAGAAGCCAATGCTTAACAAATATTGTTCCAAAATCTAAAAAAAACATATAAGATTTATATACAAGAGTATCTCCCAATTGAAAACAAGTGTTTTGCTAATTCACATAAACAAATCAGAGAGAGTTTTTGACTTACAAAGGCATCCAGGCATCAGTATTATTCATTTTCATGGCATATTTAATTGAACTTCATAATATCTTTGCAACAATGTGCTTTTTATTTGATAGTAAGTAATGCTCTTACGTTACCTCGATTTTAATGAAATGTATTTAAATTGATGGCAGCGTTTCTTACCTGTAAAGAAACAGAGTAATAGTAGTTATAATAAGCTTCTTGTTTTTCAAAAATTTGTATAAAGAAACTAAAAAAGAGACTGCTCTTAATTAACTAAAACACATAATTACTATTATTACTATTTTTTATTTATATTTTTCGCGTACTTCTATGCGCTTTGTTTGTTTGTGGAAAAGGCTGCCAAAATAGGCAACTTCGCTGATTTTCTTTTACCGAAATTAACATTTCCGCTTGCATAATTAAAAGCAAGAAACAGCAACAACATCAACAGAAACAGAAACAAGCAAACACAAATACCAGTCATAGACTAGAAAACTGCAGAATAATATGCTTATTTCCAGACGGGCGCGCAACATGGCAAACATTTTCTCTGTACTCTGTTGTTTTCCGCTTTTTTGCTTTCATTATTTATGTTTCGCTTTTCACTGAAGTACAACTAAATATTACGCTTATTTTGACGTCAAAAAGCTTGTTGAGAAATTAAAAAAGCGGCAAATGCACAAAACAAAAGCAAATGGCGAAAAACGTACGCAAAAATATGAAAAGCTGCGCAAGGAAAACCGCAGTCAAGACGATGGCGGCGACTTTCACGTTGGCCGCCACCACAGACGAAAGTTTGCAATTTTTTTTTTAAATTTACTACGTTGTTTTTTTAATAACACACACACACACACACATTTACATGCAGAATATGCTGCACAGTATTTTTTACACATTTTCATTTCATTTTCAGACGGCTGGACATGCGCCGCTTTAACATTTCCGCCACAATGCTAAAAAGGTGGAAAGCTGCGAGTGTGGTGGTTAGGGGAGCGGGCACGAACGGGAAAGTCCGACCAACCACACACAAAATGAAGAAAACTCAATCGTCTGCTGCCTAGGCAAGAGTTGTAAAACACCGAACCACTTTAGTTTCGCAACATCTGCCATTTTTTAGCTTTTGCGGTTGTACACGATGGCGTATACGTAACGTAATGTGCCGCTTACGAACTTCCTATGTATTTTACTATTTTTCCTTTACTTTTTAGCTTCTGTCCGCTTATTGTGCAGCTTTTGCATTCATGGCGCAGCAAACATGCAAAAAAAAATTCAAAAAAAAAACTTAATGAATTTGCATGAATGAATACTTGAGAAGCTGCTGCCTGCTAGCCATATTTTTAATTTCGCTAAAATGCCAAAGCATTGTAAAGTGCCCAAAACATACGTATATACGTGGGCAGCTTTACTGCCACACCCACCCGCCCGCATTTTTCAGATTCCAGCGCTGGCGAATAAATAAAATTTATGCAGAAAATGTATGAATGCATGCGCGAAATTTATGACCGCTAATATTATCAACAGATTAGAAAGTAAGCAGAAATTATGGCCGAGTTGATTTAAATTCTTTCTGGGTCACTCGGTACAGCCCGGATTACACTCCGCGACGACCGTAGTAGTCGCATTTGCATGGCTATCCATGCCATTGCATGTCTATTATCCATATGAGCTCGACATTTTTTCGTTTCGCTTCGTATTTTTCATCTTTAATTGGCCCTAATTGGATTTTTATGCTAATTGGGTAAGCGCAATAAAGCGTTTCAAAAATATTTGTATTTTGTTTATGGTATTTATTGTAATATTATATTTATTTTTTTACCAACAATGCCGAAACACGTGAATGGATTGATGGATCGATAATGTCTGTCTTTGTTTCTCTGTTAAGCTACAGACAGACATGCAAATAAATTGCACACAATTATTTGTAATTTTACAAAACGACTTTAAAAACTAAATCCCAAACTAATCTTAACAGAATACTACGTTCAAGTATAGAATTAATATTAGTTTTATTTGAAGCAACATTACCAATTTCTGTGCATATTTCTTGCCAGTCTGACCATAACTTCTGTTTGGAAAACTTTACAAATGGGCATAACTTGCAATTAAAAAGAGATCAAAGTCTTAAAATATATATTTTATACTGGGTGCGGATGATGAGCCCATCTAACGGATCTTTCTCTTTAAATAGTTCTTCCACTTTTTGCGGCTAAGGTGAAAAGTAACCAGCTGGCTTGTCTACAAACTAAAAGTATTAATAGTCAACTGGCCATTACTATTTGTATTCGGGTATTTTTTACCCAAAATAGTGTAGAAGACAACAGTATGAGTTATGATATAATTTTTTAATTTAATTGGTAGTTATTAATTCACATTTTCAAGACTTTTTAGTGCAAACCAAAGAAAATTATTTTACTAGCGTTGAATAAACGGCTTAGCTTTAATTGAGCAAATAAGTTATTCAAGAGATAGCAGAGCCTTCTATTACACAACAATTTTTAATTTAGATATTGAATAATGACCTCCAATTTTCCAATTTTGTATACTCATTTTCAGCACAATATATTTCGAAACAATGTTGAGGCAGCTCAACTAAATATTAAAATTTATTTCATATTTAGTTTTAATAATTTGCTAACTTTAAAATAGAATGTGCTGGACATTTCAGTTGAATGTATTTTTGACTTAAAAGTATTTTTTATCCAGCACGTTATCCTCACCCTCACTAAGACTTTCATTGCCCTTTGATGCTTGCAATGTCGACTCGTCCATCATGCGTTCCAGCAATTGCTCCTGGCGTGGATTCAACGGAGCAATAAAAATGTCTCGGGTGGCCCGGAAACGTCCACAGTTGTACAAATGCTCATTTTCCAAACGGAGAAAGTTCCAGAAAAATCGACGTGTGACCTCTAAAAAACTGGCCAATGTCTTGCAATTATATGGCAGCACGAAATTGTTGTAAACTAAATAAAACTCGATCGCCCAAAAGCAACGTATTGTCACATTCTCAAACATGACAAAGTAATAAAAACACTGAAAAAGATAGAATAACTTTTTTGAATTGGCGAGAAAAGAGATCATTTCTGACCTTAGGATAGACGAGCTTCTCACGTAGTAAGAAATTATCCCAGCGCCATATTTTAAATAAACCGAAGTCTCTCAATAAATCCCAACCTGTACAAAAGATCGTTGAAACAAGAGCGCTCGCCAAATACAGCCAAGTATATGGATTCTCAAATATAGAGGAATACTTTGCTGAAAGCAGGAACAACCATAAAACTTTCTCGTTTCCCTCTCCATCGAAGATTCACTCACCACTTGACTCCATCTGTAGTGTTGAGAAGAGGACAACCATCAATGTCGTGGTATATTTAAGGGCATTCAACAGATAGCTTATGGACTTGGAACTGCTATCGTGATAACGACGCAGGCACTGAACTAGTCGGAGCCAGGCAGGAAAACCACGCAGTAAAGGGACTACGTAGTCCGGCTCGAAATAAAAGATATCTTCGTAGTGATTCCAGTAACGCCAATAGAAGCGCATCAGGTAGTAGTAATCCACTATGCATAGGACTAGGGAGTTCATCTGGTCGGCTACCCAGAAATCCACGAATCGCACATAGTAGAATGGGGCGGCTACGACGCGTCCAAAGACACGAATCAGCCAGCGGCGTGCCGGATAGTTCATAATTCGAATGGGATTGAAGAGAAATACTAAGCTAATTACCACCGGAACCAATGGAAAGATGTACGGATCCTGCAGTTCGAAGTCCTTGTAGTAAATAAAAGCCAATATGGATAAAGTGCATATATAGCCCAAAGTGCTTGATATACGGAGAAAGGTGGGAGGTTGCAAGTGATGACGCGGCTCGATCTCAAAGATCAGTACATGATTGACACCAACATTCTGGAAAGCCTTCACATTGATGGTCAAATAGAAACAAAAGAGAATCCAAACAAACTGTCCACGGTACAAATACATGAGACTCTGGATACTGTCCCGAAAGTAGAAGTCTGCACAAAAATTGAAAATATGATAAAGACCCAGTGTTTTCTCTTTTGAAGTACCTACACGATGCGATGCATGTAAGGGCGCCCACAATAAATAATCCAAGTACCAAGCCCGCACAGAAGACAACGCCTGGCGGGGTTGGTTGACCCAGAGGCGGGACACGTAATTTCGCCATTGCCTTGGCTCGATTGCCATCCGCCAAGTGTTTTATATACAATTCCTCCACTTCGTTTATCAGTTGTTGCAGGAGACGGTCATCAGTGAAGGGCGCACCGACAACATTCTGCTCGAACCACAATGTGCCTGCCGAGGACTTCAAATATTTGTTATATTTCTTGCATATCTTGCGAAAGCCCGTTAAATTTAGATTCTGATAGTTCTGAAGCAGAATGAGGCTCAGGTAGAACTCGCTATAGGCAAATCGAAGTTTGCGTGTTTTATTCCGCTTGTTTTTAACGTCCACCGAGGCAGAGATCAGACTACTGCGGGTATCGGCTAGTTGTCCAGGCACCCGTACCGTGGCGAACAGATTTATTTTAAGCTGAGCGTGCTTACGACGCGCCTCGGCCAGCTTCTCCGCATAGAAATTGTTCACTTTCACCAACTCCTCCTTGAGGACAATAAAGAAATTGCTCTCAAAAGCACGAAAATAGGCATCGATATCGTATTGTTTGGTCGATTTTGGATTCGGAGCATTTTCAACCCCTTGCCGTATCATCGTTTTGAGTTTCTGTGATAGAAACGCTTTAAGTGAGTTTCAGAATATTGCAAAATATTCGATGTGGAGTGATTCGATCTATTTCGATTTTTTTTTTTTTTTGCAAAAAGAAATATATTTATCTGAACAATTCAAATTTATTGTAATTTTCTATGATCATTAATAGCTAGTTCAAGTATGCATTTGACCTTATACGATTAATCGATTATTAGCAAAAAGAATGTTAAAGATCGATCGAATGTTAAAGATCGATTGATTCTGCATGGATTATTTTTGCAGCTCTAATCGCAGCCTCCACATACCACATAGTCCATGTACTGTTGCCGCCATTCCATCGTCAAATGGGACTCAAAGGTTTTACCGAATTTCATTTTGTCTTAATAGTTTTATTTCAAACACTTCCAATGATAGAAAATTCAAAGCAAAGTTTGAAAACTCATAAAGGCATAATACAAGTAAATAAACTTTAACATGGGCTTGCCTGTGATGCTTATGAAAGCGGTTTTTAAAGCATTTATGCTAAACTGAAGACATTTTTTCGTATGTATGTTAAGGCGGTCATTTTTTTTAGAGAAAAATATATGGAACTAAGTTTACCTATGGAAAATAAACATACTATTTTTTTCTGCTTTTAATATTCTTAGTCACATCGGCTTAATGAAAATATATAAATCATCTACTACGAAACTTATCACAAGGCTATCATGACGATCTCAGCACTGTCGCTTAAACTTTACACCTAGACTTATTTTTTATGAATACAGCTAATACCATACTCAAACGTTAAGAACGAACATTTCAGATCACTTTATCAAATAGTTGTCATTGAGCATAAAAGATTTAGAAGAATCGAATAAAGTATGTTTGATTGGTTGAGGGGTACAAAGATTGGTTGAAGGGTACAAAGCTAAAATATTCTAAATAACAAACCAAACAATCACACACATTTATTTTTTTGCAGTAACATCCTCTTTGAAATACCTGCATTTAAAAACATTAGTCTGATAAATGGAATCTCTCGCAGCTCAGTACAACAAACAGAGGTAAACTGTCCAGAGATCAACATAAGTTCGATATATTGAATTATATTTAATCTTAAAACCAGCTTTATTGCCCAAATCATAATCAATAAATAAAAACATAGCACCATTGCTCATAAGGACACAGTTTGCATTGTTTATTAGTAATATTTTCGGCTGCATTTAAGTTAAGACTGCAGCTTTAGCTTCTCAGAAATGACAATTGTATCGTTAGAAGAGACTATATCATTATTGGTCAATACAGGGACGGTGCCGTTCACAGTTGCCGTTTGGTTAAGACTGTTCAATGTCTCAATTAAGGGAATTGGAGGCACGGAAGTCGTGGTCGTCGATGTCGTCGTAGATGTTGTGGTGGAGGATTTCTTGGCTTTGAAGAATTCAATCGCAGATCTTGTTTTACGGGCGCTCTTGTTTGTAGATTTTTTGCCAAAAGCGCCGAAAAATGCTTTCACCGATTTCGTCGGTTCTGGCTTTCTTTTCAAATTAGCACTCCTTTCAACAATACCATCCACAACGGCTGGGCTAGGCATTGTTTCCGGATTCGGATTGTCAGCAAGAGTGGCAACAGCAATGCCGCAAGCAAGAAGACCCAAAAGGATAAAGGCACGCATTGTTCCAGTTAATGGTAGGCTTAGTTCTTTGCGTTACTGGCTGCTGTTCCGAGCGAACTGATTTCCAACAACACATGCCAATTCTTTTATAGTCGAGCCGATGCGAGCAATTACTTATTGGAGTCTGCGTTCGCGGTCAGTGTTAATAGCTCTCTAACCAACACATGCAGCTTTCACTTTTTTAAAACAAAACACACTTGCGAGGAGCATTAACAACGCTATGGTACTACTAAGTATTGGCGAACGAGTCATTTTATTATTGTGTTATTGATTCATGGCCTATTCTGAAAAACACAAATGGTGAAACGTTCTCATTTTTTTCAATGTGGCTTCTCAAGAAAATAAAGGCAAACAAATTATTAGAGAAATATTAATAAAATATACTTATTTCTTTATTAAATCATTATCATTTTAAGCAGTTTGTATAATATACGAGGCAGAAAAGCATTTGCGTCTTAATATTTTTAACAATCCTCTCCAGAAAGGCTTAGTACGCTAGATTTAACAAAATCGTATTCAAATTTTGTTCAAGGCATAATTTATACCTGAATTTTGTAAGCTACAACTTTGAAAAAAGCTTTTTACTAATATGTACCTTAACTTTAATTATGGAAAAATAAAATAAATAAATGTAGCATACAAATTTATTTACGAGTCAAGTTAGCTACAAAAATGTAGAAAAATGCTTTTTTCGAGTGTGGATTTGTCTAGTTCAAGCCGCTATATTTTTCTTAGAAGACAATTGAAGAAGTGCCAACCGTCCCATTATCACTTCCAGGCGGATAATCACATGACATTTAATAATGTTGAGACAATGACTACTGTACGAATTTAATTTGTATTTTTCTTGGAATTAAATATACCAACTTCACTGAAAAAAAATTGGGCTCTATTTTAAAGCTCAGATACTGATTTTATACAGAAATATGTGATTTATTTTAAAACTATTGTAATCAGTATAACAATGCCACTAAATAAAATATAAATAAGTGGTTGTAAAATTTAAATTTATTTTTAGATTTTAGCAGCGAAATTTTAAAACCAAATATCTTAAAACTTCTAAGGCCAAATATGCAAAATAAATATAAAGCAAAATTGGTTAATTGCAGAAAAAAAATTTACTTATTTATCTAGATAGATAGACATCTCGTCTAGAATTCCAAGCCTTTAAACACTGCAAGAATTAAAAATGAAACAACACAACTTATACCTTGTGTTAAGGTTTTTCTTAACTTTTTAAACGATTTGCATAACGGTCTTGGGAAATAAGTGATACAAGTATTGGGTATTGAATTTTTGAATCCCCAAGGAATACCATTACCATAAAAATGGTTCATTAACAAGTTTAGAAGTGAAACCCATGCATATTTGAATATGATTCTTTTAATTGTAATATATTTCACATTTCACATGGACATTGAATGTTATAAAGTATTCAGGGAGTGGCAGCAGCACCTTTAGAAGCAGCAATGGGTAAGCTAGCAGTGACGTTTGAGGCTATTACGGCTTCTGTGGCATTGACAGTCGCCGTTTGATTAAGGCTGTTCAAGTTATCTATCGACGGCACTGCTGGCACTGGCATTGCTGTTGTCGTTGTTGTTGTGGTCGAGGATTTCTTAGCCATGAAGAAATCAATGGCAGCTCTTGTTTTGCGAGAGTTCTTGTGAGTCGATTTCTTGTGTGCTGGCTTGCGTTTGTCGGTTGTTTTGGGCCTTATTACTTGATGTGCTCTGGAACTGGCAGATCTCGAGGGATTCTTCTTTAGAGCAGCACTCTTTCGAGCAGCGTCCTCAGAATTGCTCAGATCGCCAATCATTGCTGGAGCAGGCATCATCTCCGAGCTGGGACTCCCAGCCATGGTAGCAGCGAGCACGCCGCAAGCGAAAAGAGCCAGAATGGTGAAGGTACGCATTGTTGCAGGTAAGTGAATGGTTTACTGGTTGCTGCTGTGAGTGAACTGATTTCTAGCAACACAGACCAGTGCCTTTATAGTCGGTCCGAGCCTCCTAAAAAACTAAAACATCTGGCACTAAAATGGAAGTGCATCCGTCATGCAAGTAAACTGCCAATGGACTGCTCCTACACATACATAAATAACTTACTTCATAACCATTAATGGGAAATAGGTTTCGTATAATTATTAAGAACTTTATTTATTGACAAAATTAACAATATGATGTTAAATGCTAAATGATCAAAAGGAAAGAGAACTAGAAAGAAATGGCTCAGCCACTTGGATTAAGCCTCAAAATGTACGCATTTGCTGATTTTTAAAAATAAAAGAATTAATGTTTTCCATTCTTGAAAAAAGAAAATGCCAAAAGCCAAGTAATATTTGTACACCCACATGAATTGTTATTTGTAGGGCTGCTTGGTAATAAATCATAAAAAAACTCTGCCATATTTGGCCAAGAAAGAAGAGCTATTTCATAAAATTAATTACGACTGCTGCTTGATGTTGAAAGTGTAGGATTGACACATCGATTTGTGCCGTAACTACCCTATATATGAAATTAACATTTCACCTGTTCAAAAACATGAAAACATTGCTCTATGGAAAAAATACTCTATCAGCAAAAGAAGCGGTAGACACCCTCATCTCTGTGGCCACACCTACATAGCGATACACAAAAACATACTCTGTTTAAAGAAAAGATCCACATTAATGCATTGCACATCTCTACAACAATAAATAGTCAACATATACACAAAAAAAGCAACTCGTTTATTAATATAATACAAGGATCTAGCATCCATCACTCCACTAACACTAGATTTCTAAAAAGCTGCAGAAATGCAGGACTATGTAAAAATAATAATAATAAAATTAAATTGAAAAAGTGTGTTTTTGCTGTTTGCTGGGATGCATTGAGCGCTGGTCTTTGAAAAATTTCACAAAAATTTGTCTGAACGACTATTAAAATAACAATTCGGATGCCTTGATATTCTAATTTAATTAATTTTATAAGGGTCTTTCAAAACGTTACTGTGACGTTTTTTTTTAAAGTGCTTAGACAATGTAAAATACTCGTGTACGTTCAAAATCTATAGTTCTGAAAACTCCAAAACTTTCGGCAGCAAAGCTGTATTCATAATTTTTTGTTCGATTTTTGAAACGAGTTAATATCGTCGATGGATAAATACAGCCGCTATATAAATAAAGTATATACAAGAACAACAACTGATAATTTAGGGCTCGTGCTTTTTCATTTACGTTCTTTATTTATGTTATGTTTGTAAAAACAAAAAACTGTAAAAGTAATAGAGTTGTCAGATTTCAGGAACTACCAGGTGATCAGGGAGAAACAACAGCACCACTGACAGTGGTTCCGTTCACGCTATCCAGAGCAATGAGCTCAGCTTTGGTCTTAGCTTCTGTTCTGGCTTTTCCGCCGCAGGCCATATGTGTAACATTATCGTGATGCAGGCTCTCGAGCGCCACAAGTTTGGTTGCCTTTTCAATTAGTGGCTTCGGAACAATTTCATTGGAGCTGGTGGCGGTGCTGTTTGTGGTTACTGTGGTTTCGGTGCCATTTACAGTTGCCGTTTCATTGAGGCCGCTCACTTTTTCAATCGACGGCACTGCTGGCACTGGCGTTGTTGTTGTTGTTGCCGTTGTTGTTGTGGTCGACGATTTCTTACCAAAGAAGAAATCAATGACGGATCTCGTTTTGCGCGAGTTTTTGCGGGTTTTATGTTTGTCAGCTGATTTGTGTTTTG